AGATTATTTTGATGGATGAAAAGGTATTGTTTTACATATTATATATATGCATAAAGTTAACATATCCATAAGTATATTACAGTCATATACTAAATAACTTGGTCGTTTTAACTAATAGACTATTTTTTTTAGGGCGACCACATTCACGCAAATATTGGCAGGCCTTTTATCCATAGGTTCAAACAACAAATTAAGGAAATGGGTTTGTACATCATGAAGAATTTCGTTGTTTGTCCAAATAATATGAAGCTGAAGATCAAAGACCACAAGTTTAAGTTGATGTTCACCCATAAGACCACTGTCGAGCAAATACATGATCCATTTTTCAACATGTGTATCTTCAAATTTAGAACCTATGAGCAGTTGTCAAATCCCCTGGAGTTTGACAATATTGAGCTATTCGGTAATTAAATTTTTCTCTTCTTTTTCATTTTCAATTTACTTTTACTTATTTGTTATATGAGTGCTAAGTGAGAAGTATGGTGAGAAGGCAGAAGAAGTATCACAAAGGTCATCTAACAGAATTCAAGGACCAACATTCTTATTATTTGTGGCACAGTTAGCTTCCAGAGTCTCCAAACTTTGTGCTCGCTATCTGGATATAACACGTTCATGAAACTAATCTCATTGAATCTCTTAGATGAGAAGGAACAATTTACTCAATAAGAATAATGTTCAAAACTACATTCTTTATTGAAGGATCTTATTATAAGTGAAGTAGAATATATTTTTGTGTAACTTTAATATCTCAGTATTTCAAAAATAATAGGTATAAAGTGCTATCGAAGTTGTGAGGCAGACAAGAGGAACATAAAGTTCTACAGATATAATTTTAGCTAAAATACATATGAAATTTCATTAAAAAGGATTAGGCCTCATAAATAATTTTGGCTTTAGGCCCCTACTATAGTTGAGCCGCCCCTGTGTAGTCTCTGCATCAAAACCGTCATTTTAACTGTTAACATGATAATTGGTATTCAACAGCTAAAAGGTAGATAGTTGATTAAGAACGTAATGACCACCAACGAGAAACAATATTTTGATGCTTCCTTCTACAAGTAATACTTGATTGTGTTCAAGTTCTATCTGCAGTTATGGAAACATCAGTGAGATATTAGTGACATTTATTAATAGGAGATACTGTTGAATACCAGTTATCAGGAAAAGCATTTAAAGAACCTCCATGAAATTATATCATAAAATTTTTTAATTCTTATACAATCTTCATTTATATTGTCTATAATGCTTACTAATTTTGCACATATTTCCTTGCTTTGTAGATGTCATTGGCGAAGTTGTGCATTATGAGGACGTAGAGTACATCAAGCAAGATGATAACATTCGCATGTACACGAACATTGAGATACAAGATTATGAGTAAGCTCGCCACGATTTATTCAACTAAGTAAATGTTTCAACAATTCTTTATTTCGATTCCTATGCTTAACCTTATAATAATTGTAGGAGCAACAACATTTCTGCAACTCTTTGGGGAGACTTTGTGGAACAGATCAAGCCATATTTGAATGAGTCCAATGATAAGCCTGTCGTCGTCGTCATGCAATTATTTAGAGCACACCGATATCGAGGTTATGTCTACTTACTTTGAAATACAATGTCTCTATACAATTACTAAACTCATAAAAATTACATTTAAGCTGCAGAAAAATATTCGGTGAGGAACACTTGGCACACGTCGAAACATTGGATCAATTCAAATCTTCCTCAAGTTGTTGACTTTTGCTCCAGGTCTCTATAACCATCAAATTTAGATAGACCATTTGGAGGTAAAACAATTGTTCTTGGAGGTGACTTCAGACAAATCTTGCCTGTAATTACAAAAGGCACTAGGCAAGAGATTATTGAAGCAACTCTAAATTCTTCATATTTGTGGCCCCACTGTCAAGTTTTAAAGCTAACAACAAATATGAGATTGCAAGAAAATACATCTGGTGCTGATTTGGATGATTTAAAACAGTTTTCTGATGGATTTTGGCAATAAGTGATGGAAATATTGGATGTTCCATGGATGGCATTGCCAAAGTAGAAATACCCAATGATCTTCTCATACATAATTGTGATGATCCAATATCTGGAATTGTAGAAAGTACATATTCTGATTTCTTGAGACATTTCACAGATATAAAATACCTTCAAGAAAGAGCAATTCTTGCGCCAACTCTTCAGATGGTGGAATCGGTGAATGATTACATGGTTTCTCTCAACAATAGTCGGGATAAGTCATATTTAAGTTCTGATACAATTTGCATGTCTGATCATGCATTTACATCTTTGGAACATGTACATACACCTGAATTCCTAAATAGTATTAAATGTTCAGGTATTCCAAATCACTCTATCACTTTGAAGGTAGGTGTTCCTGTGATGTTGTTAAGAAATATAGATCAATCATCAGGATTATGCAATGGTACAAGATTGATCATCACAAGGCTTGGAAATCGGGTACTTGAAGCCAAAGTATTATCAGGAAAAATGGCTGGAGACAAAGTTTTTATATCAAGAATGACACTTACTCCATCTGATGCAAGAATTCCTTTTAAGTTCCAAAGAAGGCAATTTTCAGTCATTGTATCGTTTGCCATGACCATCAATAAAAGCCAAGGTCAGTCATTATCTAATGTGGGATTATTTTTGAAGAAGCCTGTATTTACTCATGGACAACTATACGTGGCACTTTCAAGAGTAACAAGCAGAAAAGGGTTGAAGATCATATGTTATGACGGAGATGGAAAAATAACAAATGAAGCTACAAATGTAGTGTATAAGGAAGTTTTCCGAAATTTAGAGAATAGAAGTTTTTAATAAGTATGAATGAGCAGCCCGTCAATGTACATACTCAGTATATAGTTGGTCATACTATGGACAAACAAAAAATTGGATGAGGTAAACATTCTTCTAAATTTAATTTACTTTGATATATCATGTTATAACTTAATTGTTTTTTAATCATAGGGAAGTACTTTTATTTATTAAATTTTACATCTATATTTGCAGTTAATCACTTCAGTTAAATCGTAGATTTGCACGAATATGAATTTTCCAGGCCACTCAGAACAATGGATCGCCTTCAACAGGTAATGAAGTGCTAATCTGAGAATAGTAATTGATGGAGTGCTGTTACAATTGAAAATCACTTCGACAGTAGACGTTGGAGTAGAACACATTTCCTTGCATTTTTTATACAGAATTCTTTCTGCTTGCTAAAGGTCTGAAACCATAGAACGGAGTGCTTCTGCTGAAATTTTTAATTCTTGGAATGGAATGTTTCTGCTGAAAAATGGAGATGGACAAAGTGCATATTATATTTCTGTTTGTGTGTGTTGCGTGTCTTAAAAAGATTCATTTGTTGGACTAACATATTTCCTAGCGAATGCACTTATAAAAGGAGGGAGGTAGAAGCACGTTTAGAAGAGAGCTGACAGTGGTCGTGATCCCCTGACTAAGAAAATATGCAATTTCTATGTTACATTGTTTAGTGAAGTACTCATAAACAGTTATCTCTATGGTGTCTTCTCCATTATCTAGGCCATCACCATTTTTGACTTTCATAGAGAATCTATATAAACAAAAGTAGATGGTTACATATCTCTGAGTAGTTAGTAATATATATTATGGGACTTAGGTGATTCAAAGAGTTTCGTTAGGCGATTTGGGACTTAGGAGTGTGTTCTGAGTGTTATTCGGAGATCCGTAGTAGAATTAAGCTTGAAATTGCGAAATCGCATATACCACGGCTACTCAGTTTTTAGCTTTCACGCTAGGTTGGTGTCTGCATTTATTCATTAGATTCTTATATATATAAATTTGTATGATTGAATAAGTGTATGGGGCAGAAAGGATATGGATATAGTAGTAGTTTGGAAAATGTACAACTAGGTATTCTGTACAACTAGGTATTCTTTTTTCCCATTTTGGCACATTACTCTTCTGGGATTACTTGAAGGGAAGCATTTTTTGGGATTACTTGATTGCAAGGCATTTTTATTTAAAATTGATCCGCTCTTTAGACTTTTCACCAGTGGTTTAGTTTGTCAAATGTTTTGAAAGTTCATGGGTTAGAGCTACAGTAGTCCAATTGAGATAAATCTTAATGCAGCTGATCTGTAATTCAGTATTCTACTTAAAAAAACTGGAGAATGAATTCCCTCCTGGAGACTGTTGTAATAAAATACAAATAAAGTCAAAATTTTAACTCCCCATTGAGGGTTTTTATGCGGTTTGTCCTCTTTTAGCCTCCAGCTACATCTCAACACTTGACCTACAAATTTTAACGGAGACATCAAATTTGTTTGGTTGGAACAATTTTTGTGATGTAAATGATATAATTCAATTTTTGTATTTTGTGGGCTCTAACTTAATTTAAGAGCCAGGGATGCCCTTTAATGAAATCTTTATTTTATAAAGAAAACTACAAATTTTAACGGAGACTGAATCCGAATCATATGTCTAATAAAGCCATCTGATATGTTGAGTCTGATAGTTGCGGTTGTCGTTTACTAGACCGGTCAAAAAAATTAGGTCTCCGCATTTATCTTGCCTCAAACAAGCAGAGAGTGGTCAAGTTATAAAACAATACGATCTAATTAAGACTGTTATCGTTAGGTGATAAATGTATTTTTTTTAAAAGCTGCAGCTAAAAAAAATATCTTTGTTGTATAAATTCAATGGAGATGTTTCTAATTTAGATAATTTTCCTTAATTGGACTTTCAACAACAATAGTAGTTAGAATGGATGTAATAAATGTTGCCATCTTTTTATACAATTATGTATGTGTGGTTGAGGGTTGATTCACATGCAACAATAAAGACGACGTATTTTTCGTAAATCTTCTAACATTTCACATTCTTTTGTTTCACTAAGAGTACCAAATGTTGTGCTTATTATTTCATCTAATAGTCTGTACATACATTTATTTCTACAGGTCATAAAAAATAACCTTAAGTATGGAACAGAGAACTTTGCCTCAGCCGTAAAGGAACATGTAGCTTCTGATGAAGGTGTTTTTTATTGCAACAACATCAATGGTATGTTTGTAAGTGACATAAAATCTTGATGAGAATTAATATTTTTAATGTAAGCATTTTATCTAACACTTAAAACTGTTATATAAATTATGCTAACAAGGATTGGGTGTTTCCAAGATCTTAATTATCCATGTAAGTCGTCGTTTGTATCTTCAACAAACGCGACTAACTTGCTCATATTCTCATATACTTCTTATCCAAAATAAGCCACAACAAAAGGTGATTTCTTAATTACTGTGGATTACACATATATGTATAACTGTTCTTTGTTTTTTTCTAATTATAAGTTCAGACAAATTTTTGCTTCTTCAGGTGGTCTAATCCATTTTAAAGACATATTTTTACTATATTATTTTTTTCTTTGAAACAATCCGCGTATCGCGCGGGTACGTATATTAGTGTAGTATTAACTGGACATCTAAAAGTCTAAAACTAAAAATTAGTCGGGCCATTTCCATGTTGTAAATTGCACCGGATGAATTCTTTTTAGATCACTGTTTATATTTGGATCCCACTAAAAAAAAATACTATTGGGAAAATAGACAGAATTTTATAGCATAAAAAATTCGGGAGAAATTCAAAAATAGCCAGATTTACCACTGGTCGTTGAAAAATAGCCAAGTTTCAAAAGTCATCGAAATTTAGCCACTTTAAATCTGAGCGAAAACACTGTTCAAAATCCGGAAAAATACGCCCGCAAATTTTACGGGAGTTCCAGCATAAGTATGCTTGAACTCCCGTAAATTTTACAGGAGTTCCAGGATAACTATGCTGGAACTCCTGCAAATTTTACGGGAATTCAAGCATAATTATGCTGGAACTCCCGCAAATTTTACGGGAGTTCCAGCAAGTATAATTGTCCAGTATAATATACTGGAGTTTGGAGCACTGGTGCTCCAGTCTCCCGCAAATTTTACAGGAGTTAGCAAAGTATACCGGTCCAGCATAATATGCTGGAGTTCGTACACAAATGCACCAGAACTCCCGTATATTATACTGGACCGGTCCCTATTGCAGCAAAATAGTGGCTATTTTTCATTGACTTGATAAACGCTGGCTATTTTTCATTGACCAGTGTGAAAACTGGCTATACCATGATATTTTAACAAAAAATTCTGACGGTCACCAAAACTTTTAATGCCAAATTTTTAAAAGCACTAAAAATTCTGACAATCACTAGAATTTTCAGCGCAAGAATTTTAAAGCACTAAAAATTATGATGATTGTAGGCGTATAAAATTTACGGGATGAAATTCATAAATTAATTTGGACTATATTTTAAATTCAAGATATATTGGTCCAAATAAATATTATGGGCTAATATAATTGGATTAATTATGTAAGTCCAACATGTATGGATTAAATAAATAAGTTTTAATCCATTGGGCTAGCCCATTTAATAGGGCTAAAGTGATAAGCCCACTTCATTAAGCCCAAGATGATATCTTCCTAAAGGCCCAGTTTAGTGCCACGTAAAAATGATGTGGCGCGCCAGGTCAAGCAGAAGAGCCAATAGGATCATGCCACATGTCAAAATGACAAGGCATGACCAGTCACACTGAAAGGCTAATGAAATCGTGCCACGTGTGCAAGTGACATGTTCTGGCCAATCAAATGCGGCCATGTCACACTTCATTTTGATTGGTCGGAAAGAGTTTGTTCTTATCATGACTCCTCCCTTCCACAACTATAAATAGGGGTCTTCATAACTCAGAAAAGACACCAGAAGTTATAACAAGAAGCAAGAGAGAGCTCGTGGATCAAACGCTGCAAATTTCTCTACAAGTTTCAAGTTTCAAGCAATCAAGTTCAAGTTCAAGAAATCAAGTTCAAGCTCATGAACGAAGAACGAATCAAGATCAAGTTCAAGCAATCAAGCTCAAGCTCAAGCTCAAGAACAAAGAACGAATCAAGATCAAGTTCAAGCAATCAAGCTCAAGCTCAAGCTCAAGAACAAGATCATCGTTCGTGGAAGCAAATATAGATTCAAGATCAAGCTCAAAGGCCCTTGAATTTATTTACTATTGGAAGGAAGAATCAGAGGATTCATAGAGATTGTACACTCAAATATTCGAAATCAAATACTACGATTGTTGCGATATTTTCGGTTTTGATTTTATTTTCTCGACGCAAATTTATTGTCTACAATGATCACAAAAATTTTCAGCTTCAATAGTGAAATTTTTTTATGATTCCTCAAGATTTGTGATAAAATCCTCTTGATCACCGTTATTGCTATGTGCTTTAAAATTCTGGCGATAAAGAAAACGAAAAAAATCCTGTCCAACAAATTTAAATTTCTAGCATGAGACCTTTTTTTTCAACACTTTCATAGTCGGGGTCAAAAAATCAATAGCAGCACTAAACTATCATTGCTGTTATTCTCAAAGTTTCACTTACGCTTCACAGTTCAGTTGAATTATGATTACTCGGTTATAAACTTATAATTAACGTAATAGCTTCTTGATTATGATTATTAAGTTGATACTCCTTCGTTTTAATTTATATGATATATTCTTATTAGTCCGACCAAAAAGAATGACATATTTATTTATTTTGAGATATTAATTTTAATTTTTTATTTTGACCATTTCACTCTTAATGAGAAATTTTTATACACATAAATATTATGGCTCCACTAAGCTTTTACCCTTGTGCTTTAAAGAACATAAGTTTCAAAGTATCTTTTTCTTAACTCCGCTAAATCAAAGTGTATCGCATAAATTGAAAAGAGGAGGTATTTTTATTTTTATTTTATTTATGTAAATAAATAGAAAAGCAAATGCCGGGTCAAACATGACATATTCAAATCGATTTACACCTCCAAATTATTTGGATGCTACCGTCTAATGCCAGGAATTTTTTTATAGCAAAAAGACTTAAAGACCCTCAAACTTTCGCAAATATTACCGGCTTGATCAATGTGTTCCAAGATCACGGTATGATGATAAGTCACGTGGCAGTATCTCGAGGGACTAGCTGTAATTGACGCACGATTCTATCGCTTATATAAAAGGAGAGGAGGAGAGCAAAATGCAATTCGCAATTTCGCATTGCTCTGTGACTGTGTTTTTGCTGTGTACAAATACATTTCACTCTCGTCTTTTCAATTTTCCTCCTCTGTTGTATCAATGGCGGCGGCAATTCGATACTTTGAGTTGAACACTGGTGCTAAGATGCCGTCAGTGGGTTTGGGAACGTGGCAGTCCGATCCTGGCGTCGTCGGCCAAGCCGTTGAGATTGCTATCAAGGTATGCTCACTCTCTCTCACCACATATCTGTGTATATGTGAGTGAATTTTAGTTTCTGTCTATGTAGATTTAATTTTATGAATTAAAAAGTTGATACTCATCTATAGTTTTTGTTACTCGATCTAACGAAGTAGAAATTCTGCAGCTAATGTTTGATATAGGAATTTGTTTATGTGCCTGCTTTACGTATTTTGCGACTCAGGACGTTTTTTTGTTTAAAGCTTTTCTTGACTATATGTAACGTAAGTAGGATTTTATTTTGTGATTTAAATAATCTTATTTTGATTAATTTTTAATATCTTCACTTTTGAATTTTGTACATTATTTATGTTCTGTTTTTTAAATATGTCAAAAATATACTTTGATAGACTTATATCCTGTTCCTTGGAGCTAACGCCTATTCCATCATATAGAAAACGGCTTCCGCTTTTAAAACACAGCGCAAACGATCCTTATCAAAAATAGTGCTAATCACTTGTTAATTTTTGTTTATTTTGATGTTATGAATTATTTTAGGAAAAAACTTTTGAAATTTGTGATCTAAAACAAGTCATATACATTTGTGTGACTATAAATTATCTCATTAAGGGGAAAATGAGAAGTTTAAAGTTACATTGTTTCGAAATATAGAAAGGTATCATTATTATGGGGACAAACTAAAAAGGAAAGTGTGCAACATAAAAAGTGATAGAGGGAGTACTATGTAGGAATTGGAAATAGTGCTAAATTTCTAAGTCTTTTAGGTGCAAGAAGATTAAATAGGTAGTATCGAGGGCAGAGAGAATTTGAAGACAATGAGTAGAAGTTTTACCTTTGGTGGTTAGATTCAGAAGTAGAGATTCATTTTCTGAATGCTTTTTGCCTTTAATATTTTCTTTTCTAGAGTAATTGTAAATGATAACCTTGGTATCCCATTCAAATGTGGTAAAAAAGTGAAGGAAATATGCCTTCCCACATATGCTGAAATTGTGTGTGGGGGTCTTAAAGCTCTTATTTGAGTTTATGGAAATATATAGGGGGTGCATTGTTCTTCTGGAGAACTATTTTCCGTATCGTAGTTCTTACTCATAATGGGCAACATAGATGTTAAGAACTCATGTTGCTACTAAAGTAACTTTGGAATAATCCTAAGAAATCAACCACTTTGAAGTGTCACTTACAACTTAGTGATTTTAGTATTGGGGCGCAATTTAGACCTAATTATTCTCCTCTTCTTTTTGTTACAGGGGGGCTACCGGCATATTGATTGTGCTCGAATTTACAAGAATGAAAAGGAGGTAATTTGGCTTAAATCATATGAAGCTTTTCAAAGAATTGAAATGTGTGATTTTCTCATCTAAAGGCTTAAATTGTTATAGAAGTGACACGTTTATTTATTTATGCTATATCTACAACACCCCCCTTTTTATAGGGGCCGGATTCTTTTTAGGGACAAAAATGTGGATAATAATCTGTTGGCGAGCTAGGGATCATGTCAAACTGTATGACTATCTCGTCAAAGGTTCCATTTGGGAGGGACACTTATTTAACATGGTGGTTTTGCAACCAACCGATGTCTTGCACTGAGACGGCGTGATAGAGGGGCTTATTAAGTTATCACTTACAAAGCTCAATTCCAAGTGTTAATGAGGCTTTTACATATCTTGTTTACTGTTCCTAAAATATTGCTGCTGTGTGGCTTGAAGTTATGGTTGTTATGTTAAGATCTGAAAAATCAGTTATATGCAAAATAGTCATTGACATGGCACTGTAAGTGCCCTATTAGTGTCATTAGCTGATAGACATTCTGCTATTTGCAAGTGTTGCCTGCAATATGCAATATTTAGGTCTTGTGGAAAAATCTAGTGTCAATCTTTGAAGTTGTTGGACTTCATCTTTCACCTAGGGAAAGGTGATCAATGCTTATCATTCTTTTCCAGATCAATCTATTGTTAACATTTTTCCGGTCTGATTTATTCTATCTGGTTGAAACCTAGTTTCATTTCGTTAGAAAACATGGTCTGGTTTCTACATTAACCTGTCACTAAATATATCTTCTTGTCTATTTTTTTTTCCTCAAAGATTGGTGAAGTTTTGAAGAGGCTGTTTAAAGATGGTGTTGTCAAGAGGGAAGAGCTCTTCGTTACATCCAAACTCTGGTAATTAATCCAAACATTCCTATAATAACTTACCTCCTTGTTCCTCGCCCTAAAATTTAAATATGCTGAGTCAATATCTTTCCATTTGTTGGAGTTATTCTCATCAATTGTTAACCATCACTCTTTTGTTTAGCATTGTTTTTCTTTGTTTAGCATTGTTCAGTTCCCTCTTTTATGACATATGTTTCCTGATAGCTTGATAATTAAATTATTACTTTTAAGCTGGCTTTTACCAATAGCGGTGCTGGTGGGGCCTGTGTTTTTTCATCATTGTGGTCTCCATAGTGTTTTAGGATACTCATACATTCAGGTGGTATTAACTTTTGTAGGAACACTGATCATGCACCTGAAGATGTACCAGTGGCACTAAACAAAACTCTTGAAGACTTGCAGCTGGACTACGTTGATCTGTACCTTGTAAGTATTGCAAAGCAAGAAGCTTTTTTCTACTAGTGTTTCTAATGTTGCCAACTAGTTCAAAGCCATATCTCTAGATTAATATGATATATACTTCTTAGAAGCATCTGCTGCAATATCCGCACACTGTTCCCTTAAGTAGATGCCCCTGAATTTAAGAGCTGCCGTGATACCCCTGAGAACTATACCATTGGACTTCTACGTGTCTTTAAAAAAATTTTAACATCAAAAGAGGGTTCATTAAATTGCCAAATTTAAGTGATTTACCTGTTTCTTTGTTTTTTTCGTATTAAATGGTGTTGTTCTATTAAATAAACTGAGGCTTATTTTATTTTATTTCCTCCGTTTTGTCTTTCTGGTTATGTGGTTTCTGTAGATGCATTGGCCTGTCAGTATGAAGCCTGGTTCGACTGACTTTAAACCTGAAAACCTTATGCCAACCAACATACCTAGCACATGGAAAGCAATGGAAAAACTTTATGATTCAGGGAAGGCCAGAGCTATTGGTGTTAGCAATTTCTCTACTAAGAAACTGGGAGATCTTTTGCAAGTAGCTCGTGTTCCTCCTGCTGTGAACCAGGTGGAGTGCCATCCTTCATGGCAACAAGCCAAATTGCGGGAGTTCTGTAAATCCAAGGGAGTCCACCTCTCTGTGAGTTCATTCCTAAAGCACTTCTAGTTCTCATGTACATTGTGGTCAACTTTTCATTAGATTTTGTTCCCATTTCCATTTTCCGTTTGATTTCTATGAGCAACTGTTTGCAGGGGATGAATTAATTTGTTCCATGATTGTGGTTGTTGGTATCTATTGACTAATCGTATGTCATTTCATGAGTAGATTGACAATGAGTTGTTTTTGTTTTTACTCCTTTCTGACATCCTTTTCATTTCAGGCCTATTCGCCGCTTGGTTCTCCAGGTACAACATGGCTTAAAAGTGATGTACTAAAGCAGCCAGCTGTAATCTCAGTTGCTGAGAAATTGGGCAAGACTCCTGCTCAGGTTTGTCTTCGTTGGGGCATTCAGATGGGTCAGAGTGTACTTCCTAAGAGCACACATGAAGCACGGATCAAAGAGAATCTTGATGTATTGGACTGGTATATACCTGATGACTTGTTTGCCAAGTTCTCTGAAATTCCACAGGTAAATCCTTTCATGGTAATGGCAATTTCTTTTGATATTACTGAGATTGAATTGTAAATTTGTTATCTCTTTATTATATTGATTTAAAATTTGAAAGTGAAGATGGACCTAGAAATTGGTAGTGATAGACTCATAGCGACAAATTTCTCAGTCAGAATTAACTGTTGAAAGTGTAGATAGAAATCCATGTTCCTAGGAAAAAAATATGAAGAAAGGACTATAGAGAAGGAAATACGAATGAGACTTGCATTGTGCATTCGGAGTGGCTGTTATACTTTTAGTCATGAGTCTTTGATATCTTTAGTAGTGACATTCATATAATTTATGAATAGATGCTTTGATACCTCTTAGTAGTGATAGACTCATAGCGACAAATGAACGCCTAATATGCATGGCCATATACTTCCATGTGCTAGTTAGACAACCATCCCCTTCCCTCGGTACCAAAAGAAAACAGAGGACCTTTGTACTGGTATATTGCCTCTCAAGACTCATACTTAACTTCCTTGATGGTTGAGATAAGTGGCTATATAAAGCCTTACTAGATATTTTCACTAAGAACTTTACTGGATGCAGTTCATGGATTATTGACATTACTGTTGAACATTATGCAGGCAAGGCTGCTGAGAGGCACTTCATTTGTTCACGAGACTTATGGCCAGTACAGAACACTTGAAGAGCTATGGGATGGTGAGCTCTAAGGTCTCAGTCAGAATTAACTGTTGAAGATAGGCAAATCTCAGTCCATTTATCTCATAGATCAACCCATTTATCTTATAGATGTAGGCTTCTTGCATCTGTCCCTCTACTGCCTGGGTGCTGAAAACCATTCAATAATCTTGCAGATTCTAACGAAACATTACTCAAACGTTTGATTAGCTGGGGTATACCCCAAAAATAGCAACTTTCAGTGGTCATCTTTTATTATATTAGTTAAACGCTTGCTTTATCGCACTTCATATCCCTTTCCTTTTGTTAGGTGGAAGAAGTAAGAACTTAAATTTCTGCAGCAGCCGTGAAAAGAAAGAAAATAAGCAGAACAGTAACTGAAGTATCCAATTATTGACGTGATGCATTTTCATTGTGTGGTTTCTCTAATTTTCTCTTGGCAATGAGCATGTTTCTTATAACCTCTTGAATGGAGGGTTGGAGAGCTGACGCATGACATGAAAATTGTCTCCCATAGCATGCATAAATTTCACTTGGCACTATTTGTTTCTATCTCATAGCCTGTTTGGCCAAGCTTCTCCAGATCCAAAAGTACTTTTTTTAAAAAAAAAAATACTTTTTTTTAAAAGTTGAAGTGTTTGGCTAAGTTATTAGAAGAAAAAAAAAGTGTTTTTGAGCAGAAGCAGAAACAGTTTTAGAGAAGCAGAAAAAAGTAGGTCCTCTTCAAAAGTACTTTTTTGAAAAATATTTTTGAAAAAAATACACTTAGAAGTAGTTTTTAAAAGCTTGGCCAAACATTAATTGCTGCTCAGAAGTGTTTTTCAAATTAATTAGCCAAACACAAATTGATTTTCACCCAGAGTAAAAAACATTTCTTAAAATAAACTGATATTTGCAGCAAAGCCAACAGTAAATCAGGCTTCTCCGGTTACCGACTAACCTTTAGGATTGCATGCAATGAGATCTTTACTATCTATTTCTTCCGAAAATGGTCATTTTTGATGGGACATTAAATACGGTTCTCGGTACTCAATTTAGAATGTTCTAAACAAGCACAGAATTCCGGATAGAGGTGAATTCAGGATTTAAATTCTATGGATTCAATCTCTAAGCCATTTAGTGTCGAATTCATTATATTTATAAAGTTATGAGTTTATATCTATTATTTGCAATATTAATAAATGTTTATACATAAATTATAGTTCCGTGTCAAAAGTATTGAGTTGAGATAAACCTGTTATCATAAAGTTAGATACGCCCCTGCTTCCGGACAATGAGGAGCAAAGTACACTCTTTGCAACTTGCAACCTAAGCTCCACACATGGATAAACGATCATCTGCAGGACACAACAATGATAGAAACAACTGTTATAACAAATACATTTTCCAGGCCCTGCCTCTACCCTAAATTCAACAAATAGTCACTTTTCAGCCCATGCTTGTGAAATTTGATACTCTAGGATAGTGAGTATTTCTCAAAAATAGGACGAAAAGTGACAAGTGGGTTCTATTTCTAGTATGCTCACACATGCCGCGTCTTATCTTTTTCATTGAAGAATTAATATAAATAGTCGCCCACTGTGATGACCCAAAAGGTCATCTCGTATTTTAGAACCCAATTCGGGGTTCCGAGGTCTTCAAAACCTCATTTTCTTTCTCCTCGATTTGCGTGCGCAGTCCGGGCGCAGTTTCGCAAAGCCTTTATGTGAAAATTTGAGAAAAATATTAAGTTTTGCCTTTAAAATTAATTTAAGTTGACTTCGGTCAATATTTTGAGTAAACGGACCCAGACTCGTGATTCGACGGTCCCGGAGGGTTCGTAAAAAAATATGGGACTTGGGCGTATGCCCAGAATTTAATTCCGAGGTCCCTAGTCCGAGAAATGAATTTTTGAAGAAAATTGTTAAACTGAAAATATAATTATTTTTAGAAATTTAATAATGCTTTATCTTGTTGGTAACGGGCCCGTATTTTGGTTCCGGAGCCCGGTACATGTTTAATATGGTATTTAAGTCATGTCTGTGAAATTTGGTGAGAAACGGAGTTTATATGGCGTGATTCGGACCCTCGATTGTGAAGATAGAAACTTTAAGTGTTCTTGAGAATTTCATTGATTTTGATGCTAAATCTGTATTTTTAGATGTTATTTTGGCGATTTGATCGCACGAGCAAGTCCGTATGATGTTGTTAGACTTGTGTGCATGCTTGGTTTGGAGCCCCGAGGGCTCGGGTGAGTTTCGGATAGGCCACGTGGTGTTTTGGACTTAGATTTCTGTTTTTTTGCTGTTGTAGGTACACAGGTGTATCCTTCTTCGCGTTTGCGAAGCAAATCCCGCGAACGCGAAGAGTAAATTTGTCTGAGGGAGAACTCTTTCTACGCGAACGCGAGACACAGGTCGCGAACGCGGAGCGTTGGGGGCATTACCCTTAGCGAACGCGACCTGGCTATCGCGAACGCGAAGGCCATTTTGGCAGGGACCTGGGGGAGGCAGAAGATACTCTACACAAATGCGGCAAGCGGCTCGCGAACGTGAAGGTCGGGGGGGGGGGGGGTAGGGGTATACCTTCGCGAACGCGTACGGTATCTCGCGAACGCAAAGGCCCTTCTGGCCAATGCTTCGCGAACTGTCCAGTGATTTTAAAACAGAACCTAAGTCGGGATTTGCTTAAAATTTTATATTTTCTTCCATAGAACTCGACCTTGAGTGGGTATTCAACACCAAATCATAGGTTCGTGTTCTTAAAATCATCTCTTTCATTTTCCATCAACACCCATTAGATTTCTAGGCCTAAATCTTGTTCTTTTAGGGTAGAATTTAGGGATTTTGGGAGAATTGGGAATTTTACAAATTTGGGAATTTTGACATTGATTTGGGGTCGGATTCCAAAACTAATTACATAATCGGGCTCGTGGGTGAATGGATAATCGGATTTTGGTTCGAACCTTGAGTTTTGACCAAGCGGGCCCGAGGTCGAATTTTTGACTTTTCGGGGAATTGTTGGAAATCTATATTGTGCATTAGAATTGGTTTCTTTGGCTTTAATTGATGTTAATAAGTTAATTATGAATAGATTCGGGCGGATTGGAAATGGAAGCTAAGGTAAAAGCGGTATTTGAGGCTTGAGTTTGGCCGTGGAATCGAGGTAACTATTGTGGCTAACATTAGCTTGAGGGATTAGGTATTGTTGCCTTATTTGCTATATTTTTATTTGTTAAGTACGACGTATAGGTGAGATGACGAGTATCTATACGTTGTTGTCGGGTTGTAGCATGTGAGCTAGTCTTATACTTGTGGCCGTTGTGTTCCTTTATTCGTACTGTTTTTGCTTAAACTGGTTATCATCCATGTTAAACAAGTCTTATTATGTTTTTCCTTGCTTTGGATATTGGTTGAGTATTGGCTCAAGTTGAGATTCGTGTTGTAAAGTTAAGTGATGAAACAAGTTGTTTAATTATGATGCCCTTGCCAGGTTGTTATTGTTTCTACTGTTTGCTTATGTGGTGAGGAAGAGTGATAAAGCACGAAGGGTGATGCCGTGCATATTTCTATTATTCATATGGTGAGATTGAGTGTTAAAGCACGAAGGGTGATGGTGTGTACGTATCCATTATTGATTATCTGGTGAGGCTGAGCGGTAAAACACGAGGGGTGATGCCGTGCACGTTTCTATTATTGATTACCTGTGAGGTTGAGAGTAAAAGCATGACGGGTGATGCCGTGCATTATTTTCTGTTGCTGTGTTTATTTGTTATTATCGGTTCAAGGTGTACTGCTGTGATTTTTATTTTGGTACACCTATAGCATGTTGCCCCTTCCCGTTAATTTATGCTTTGCTTCTATTAATTGTTATTCTGTTAGTATACTGTTTAATTGCAAAGGTTTATATTATTGTCGTGTCCTAGCCTCATCACTACTTCACTGAGGTTAGGCTCGGCACGTACCAGTACATGGGGTCGGTTGTACTGATATTGTACTCTGCCTTTCTGTGCAGATCTCGCTACAGGACCATACTGATCAGAGTTTTGGGTTGCTGCCTTCAGTCCACGCGAGACCTAAGGTAGATCTGCCAGCGTTCGTAGACCCTGGAGTCCCCTTCCCTCTATTTAGACTCCTGTTTTCATTTATTCCAAAAAACATATGTATTTTCTTTGAAACCAGTGTTTGTAGAAATTCTTAGACGTTCGTGGATTGTGACACCAGATCTTTGGGGTAGTCTTGTATTTGAGTATTTAATATGCTATAAAATTTCCGCATTTCATATCTATTTAGTTTTAATTACTGTTAATTACTGTTCTTGATTAATAGTTAACGTGTTAGAACTGTATCTGTTGGCTTGCCTAGCATTCTCAGCGTTAGGCGCCATCACGATCCCGACGGTGGGAAATTCGGGTCGTGACAATTTGGTATCAGAGCACTAGATTGCCTAGGTCTCACAATTCACGAACAAGCTAGGTAGAGTCTGAGGGATCGGTACGGAGACGTCTGTGCTTATCCCCCAAAGGCTACTGAGTTTAGGAATAACTTCACATCTATTCTTCTCTGTCGTGAGATTTGATTTCTCAATGCTAATGGAACTTCTACTCTGTTCTTTCGCAGATGGCGAGAACACGTACCGCTTCATCAGCTGATCAGCAGCCCGAGCCCCCAATGTCATATCCTACGAGGGGCAGAGGACGAGGCCGTACTAGAGGCCGAGGCAGGGGCAGGGCTCAGCCCAGAGCAGCAGCACCAACGGCGGAGCCTGAGGTAGAGTTTGAGGATGAGGTTTCGGCCCAGACCGTTCCAGTAGGCCAGCTCAGGTTCCAGAGTGGTTCATCGCTACCCCGGTACTCCAAGATGCTCTGGTCCGTCTAGTGGGTCTTATGGAGAGTGTCACTCAGGCAGACATACTTCCTGTAGCACCAGTCGTCTCTCGGGTTGGGGGAGGAGCACAGACTCCCGCTACTCACACTCCGGAGCAGATGGCTCCCCAATTTCAGACTCCAACAGCTCAGCCAGTTGGGGTAGTTCCGCCGGGTATTGTAGCACAGACCGGTGATAAATCAACTATGTCTTCTGATGCTTTGTGGAGATTGGACATGTTCACCAAGCTTTTCACTACTACCTATGGCGGTACATATTCAGAGGATCCCCAGGATTATTTGGACAGTTGTCACAAGGTTCTATGGAACATGGGGATAGTGGAGACCAATAGGGTTGACTTTGCTGCTTTTCGTCTGTCAGGTTCCTCCAAGAAATGATGGAGAGATTATTGTTTGGCCAGACCAACTGGGTCACCAGCTCTCACTTGGGACCAATTCTCGCAGCTATTTCTCGAGAAGTTCCTTCCCGTTACTCAGAGAGAGGAGTACCGCAGACAGTTCGAGCATCTTCAGCAGGGTTCTATGACTGTCA